TCTGCATTACACTCAAATGTTTAACATGTAGTTTTACATCTCTCTAAATATCCTTCAGTTGCCTTGGGAATAACTGCATGTTTCACAAACTTAAATAAAAAAAAAGTTTTCCAAAAATGACTTTGGCTCTGAGCTTTCAGAAACAGTAAATGGATGATTGACCAGTGCTTCCTGCAGTGGTTGGTTTTGTGTAACTGAGGTCAGAAAAGTCAGAGTCAGAATTTAAGAAAACATACCTTTGATGAGGGAACCACATAGACATTATGCATTAAATATATACATTTATATAGTATGTCATAATTGCATGTTATTGTTGGTGTCAAAAGCAGCAGTGTTTGTGCCTTTTATAGTTTTCTATCTTTCATGATTGCACTCCAAAGTCAGTTCAGAGACCAAAGACACATCTTAATGGTGCAGTGTATATAGTGCAGTGACAGGAGGCTTGCACCTCACTGCACTGGGGGCAACAACCTGGTTGCTTATTCATGCCCTCTGATCAGAGCTCAGGTAGATCAAATCGCTCCTCCATATTTAATGAAAAAAGCCCTTCTGTGTGACATAAATATCATGCATGTTTCGTCCGCAGCACGCTCCTGCAGCTCAAAGAGCCTGAGAGCGCTGACTCTGGAGCTGCTGCAGCAAATGTGAGCAGGAAATTGAACCGAAACATGGCAGAGGCCCCACACAGGTGCATTAGGACAGGAACATAATGGAGGTCATGCTCTTACTGCTCAACACCAGCTTCAACAACAACATTCAAGAGGAAACTTTCCTTTGGAATTAAATACATTTGCAATACAAAAATGTAAAATTTCCCCATTTATCTTCTTGCCTTTGAGGCTGTGATTTGCCACACATTTTATTCCTGATGCTCTTATGACTTGTGGTTTTGGTACAAAATTTACATCATATAATACATAAATTATTTAAAATAATAAATTCCATTTATAGATTTTGGATTATTTGGGAATATTTGTTGACTCTGGATTTGTAGAGTGTATCAGGACCACTTTACCAGGAACAATGACTGACCACAGTGCAGTGTCTGGGAGCTCATGTTTTGGGTTTGAATAGACATAATCTAATTACACTACTGAAACAAACACATAAAACAAAATAACATATTTTATCTCATAATTGCTTGTAAACCAGAACCAATGATACTGCCATTATTCTAAGCACATAAAATTTGTGAAAGTCTATAAATTCTACACCTTATTTTTTGCTGTGGTTGTTTTCATCATTGGACAGTGCAGGCAGCATTTGTGCGACAGAAGCTATTCCCTGAGGATCTATTGTTAACACTGTCAAGAGGCACAAGGACAATAGGTCACCGTAAGGAAAGGTCACCTCTGTTACACAGCCGCACAAGTATTTTCTTTCCTCCTATTTGTACTCCTTATCTCACTCTGCGCCCACTTGATATTTAATCCAGGTCCTCTACATCTCTGCCCAGAAAATACAAACAATAATAGTAGTCTATAGATGGCCTGTTTCTTATAGATATACAGTAGGGTGTCTGATCCGCATCCTGTACTGCTGGTCAACTTTATGGTATAATGATTAATTCATTATACCATAGGGTTGACCACTAGGATTCAGAATAGATTTAGCTATCATGAATGGGCTGACTGTGAAAATAAAAAAGAAGCTAGCACCTGTGCTTGGATTAAAGTCACTAGAACTTTCTAAAAAATTGAAGAAATGGGCTGTGAGAGCAGTGATGTCTCTTAGCCTTATCTGGAGAGCACTAGCTGCATTATTGCACCATGGTAATGAGGAATCCACTGACTCCATGGAACTGCACACGGAGGCAGTGTACCACAGATAGAATCCAGGCTGGTGGGAGCTATAAGGAGCAATTACGATTCAGTGGTTTGGCAGGGTAACAGAGGAAGGATTAATACTATTGAACCATATTGCACAAGTGTTCCCTCTTAAGTGCACTTTCATTCAAATTTAATATTGTTTACAATTTTGATGCAATGTTTTCAATATATTATAAGTGTACTTAAGCGTATTTGTTATGGCCATTGAAAACTATGTAGAATTGATGACGTCCCTGTAGGATGCTTTGGGCAACTCTTAACCAGTGATTTGGGACTGAAAAGTGGTTCCAAGTAGGTTGAATTGAGTTTAAAACCTTCAGCTTTTTAAGTTACTTGAAGTAGTGAGTAGGCGATCACTAAATGCACTATGGAAGGACATGTTGACGAGAGCTATGTTGATATACAAGATACCGTTTGATTATGGTATCTAATTATATTTAATACATGGACTGCATTTACTTTGATGCAAAACAAACTGGGTTGTTTGAGACATGGGATCAGTATATCAGTATCGATAGTGTCTTCTTTGCTCTAATTTAAATGTATAGTCTGAACGGAGTGTATTGTTACCCAAGACATTTGCTGTTTAGCATGTAATTAGAATAGGGTGACCAGATGTCCCAATTTACCTGAGACAGTCCCAATTTTAAGCCCTGTGTCCCTTGTCTCAGCAGATTTATCCAAAACCAGTGGTTTGTCCCAGTTTTATACAAAAAATGTCCCAGGTATCCCTATTTTTGACCAATTTGATCTAAACCAGGACTAAACCAAGACTAAACCAGATCTACATCAGGTCTAAACCAGGACTAGAACAGGACTATCACAATTTTTGATTAATCTGATCCTCGCCAACAGTAAAGAGGACCATTGTTTAGCCAAAATACAGAAAATGTACAGAAATTTTATTTATACCAGTCATCCCAATCCCAGTGTGTCCCAGTTTTGAATTTGATACTCTGGTCACACTAAATTAAAAGTTATCCACCATGGTGATTTCAGTTATCAACTGTTACTGCACTCAGAGATGTTAAGCTCCTTCAAACTAATGTACGCTAAATATGCATGCACCTGGCAGTTGTTTGTTGCCCTGTTGGGAATTCTGTCATCCTCCTTGGGGCCTCATTAGTTGCATTTCTGGCTGTAGCACAGGCAGTCCATAATCTCTAAATCTTTTCAACCTTTGTCCTTTCTCTGGGACAAACAGAAAAGTATAAATAAAATTCACAAATAAAAAATAAAATACAGCAAGTTGAGGAAGTTGACAAAGGCAGATATTCAGCCAAGCTCCGCAAATGAAATCCAGACACAAGCAGAAGATAGACTGGTGTGTGCAGTTCCTGTAGCAAGGAAAGTAACAGCTCCCATAGTGGAGACTGGAACATTCACAGCATAAAACCCAATGGGATGACTGAGCTGAAACGAAGGCAGGCCAGTCTATAATTAAGAAAGAAAAATAAATTCAAATAGTTACAACCTTATTTTTTTAAGTTGATATTTGTAAAGTTTTGTGTATGCTGTGATCATTTTAGCTTTCCCAAAATTCACTCAACATGATGTGAACAAAGAATCTTTCAGCATGTAAAACTATATTTCAATATTTATATAGCATTACATGTACAGTAGAAAGCACATTGTTACAGTATCATAATTAATTATACATGTATTTTCCAAGTTTTCATTTTTATCTCACTCCACTCTACACTGTGGTAACATTTGAGAACACCTAGAAACTGCAGTTTAGATTTGTTCATAATACAAGCATAACACAATCCCTGTCTGTACCTGCCAGAAGTTGGTTAAAGTAAAACAAAAAAGAGAGATTGTCTTTTGCTCAAGAGAATGTAAATAATAAACTTAATTTCTCACAAGAGACAACGCAAAAGTAATGTACATTCTCTTTTAAAAGTGGCTAGCACTGGCTACATGACTACATCTACGCCCTATGTGGCAAAATGCAAAATGGAGTTAATATATTATACTCACAATCTTCATGTTTTCCTCTGTGGGCTTATACAAAAAAATGTGCAATGAAAAATTAAAATGCCTTGGACTAAACAGTCTCTTGGTAAAATGCAAAATGTTTGGACCTCCACATCCATTCATGTAAATAACACAGAGATGATCTGATTAGCAGTGTGGACAAGACTAATGGTCCATGATGGTACTGCAGTACAATAAAACTGAATATAATTCTTCATTGACCATAACGAAATGTTCTGATTAAAGTAACTTCCACAGTGGCAATCTTTTAACAAGACCTGATACTTTATTGTAGGATTATAAATCCAACGAAGAGCAAAACAATTGTGAAAGCTGATCACTTAAAAAAAAAATGTCTTCATGTAGTAGTGTTTTCTGTTTGTAATGCAACTTACGTGGGGAAAACATAATTGTCCAAATAATTGTTTCTGTAAACGACACTGAATTTGAGTCATTTCTTCAACTTTCGGTTCCAAACATTTAGCAACCACTTTGGATCCACTGTCCTGTTTCATAATAGACCCCTGGTCCCACTGCCAGCTGGCACTGGGAATGGGCAGATCGAGTCCTCTTAAGTGCATCATGTTCTGTGTTTCCCATGAGGAGCTGTCATCCTCACAGACTCTCCAGCACATAGCGTCTCCTAAAGCTGCTGTAGCCTCCAGCTGCTGGCATGCTTATCCCTGTCCATCTTCTCCATAATGGATCCAGCACTGGGAATTTTCTGCTTCGCTGGTGTTACCGGATTAGTCCTTTTCATCACTCTTCGTCCAACTAAATATCTTTGCCTTACAAGTGTTGTGCGAATAGACCCTGAAAAAGCCAATAGTAAAAGTCTATTTACATAATTGTTACATTCAATCCATCCCAAACTCAGTAGTAAGATCTTCAACACACATTATACCGACCTCATCATTTTTTCAAAAGTTAATACTGACTGTTCATTCACGATAACTTCATGCTACACTGCACCTGACTTCATTTGGTAGTCTTTTACTAAGAGTTGAACACAGCAGATATTGACATTGTAAAAGAAAATTGTATTACTGGCCACTGTTGGAGGGCATCCATTGCTCCTGAGTATTAGCAACTTTCCATTAGCTTCCATGGCAGCCATTTTCACATTCTCATCGCATAAAATGAGGTTTTGATCAATAAATCATCAAAAATGACCCAGCTGTTTACAAAGTCTTATACAGCATTCTGTTCCAGTGCTTGGTCTTTGGACTCCTGGTTCCCCTTATCTCGCTGCCCATTCTGGGGGGGAATATCCAATTTGAGCATGGGTTTCTGCATGGAAGGAGGTGACTGGGGCATGTCTTTCCTATCACTCGGCTGGATTTCTAAGACAGGAAGGTCCTTGCAACAAAAATACTGCTGCAAAATTTTCTGGAATGCCGTGCGGAACTTTTTGATCCGGAACGCATAAACGATGGGGTTGACAGCAGAGTTCCCATGAGTTAGCAAGATGGCGACGTAGAGCAAAGCAATTGGTTTGTTGCACTCCGGACAGAATAGAGTGATGCAGTTGATGATGTGTAAGGGCAGCCAGCTGATCGCAAACAGGAAGAGCACAAGAGCCAAAGATTTCGCGAGGTTTAACTCTTTGTCGTAATACTTGTTTGGATCTGAATGACTTGTATTGATCTTCTTGTTGTTGAGCTGCTTGTGGATCATGTAGAAGATCTCTGCATAGATAACAAGCATGAGTACCAGCGGGGGCAGAACCCATCCAAAAAAGTTGAAGTACACCATGTAGTCCATACTGATGACTGTTTCAAACTGGCAGGTGATAATGAGGTCTGAGGAGATAGTGGAGGAGTTCTGCTGCAGGCGCCATAGGTTGTTCCAGCCCAACATCGGAGTCAGTCCCACAATGAAGGCAACGGTCCAGCAGAGCACTACAGCCAAACCGGCTCTACGAGGAGTCACCACGCGCTTGTACCTGCGGAGGATAAGAACATTCTTCAGATCACAGCCAGAGCAACATGGGACAGCAGCAGGTGAGGTGTAGGTCCTGGCTCGTTTTTCATCTGGACACATGGCACAGAAGCAGCGCAGGTTTAGAATCCCTACACACTCCATGTATACAGATTAATTAACTATCCCAGTCATTTATTTCTGTAGGAATTTGAATAACATGCTATTGTTATTTTCATGAAAGTCTTTCATCAACTGCAAAATGTATTTAAATTACATCTAATGTGCAATTAACATTAGTGGATATGAGGCATCCCTATTGCTGAGGATGGATTGCTCTGTTGTTATGTTTGTTTCATTGTTGCTGCTGCCAAAATTTTTATTTTCTTTGGGATCAATAAAGTATCTATCTATCTATCTATCTATCTATCTATCTATCTATCTATCTATCTATCTATCTATCTATCTATCTATCTATCTATCTATCTATCTATCTATCTATCTATCTATCTATCTATCATTTTTAATATGAACAAATGAGGGATTACATGAGCTAATATTTTGTACTATTCATTCTAACTTTATCCACTCATGTCCTTTAATTCCATCTTATTGTTTAACTAATTTCATCATATTGTTTACTGTTGTCTATAAATCTCCATTTTGGACGTCCATCTCTTTCTCAACATCTAACATCGGCTGTCCTATTGATGCATAATTCTATCCTTGTCACAAACAATGGACTCATCAATATCTTTTATCTCTGTTGCCTCCAGCTTTGGCTCTAATGCAACAGGCGTACCTGCTCTTAATTTTGATTTTGTCTCATACACCCTACCTCACATTTTAATAGTGCATCAGACTTGTATAGCATTTTTTTGGATACCAAAGACACTTTACAAAGCATTATTCATTCATTCACCCTTGATGGTGGTAAGATACTGTTATAGTCACAGCTTCCCTGGGACAGACTGACATCTTTTAAAGGCTTTAAAAAAAAAAAAAGAACCAATGAGGGATTACATTGACTGCTACTATCTCATATATTTATTCTCTTTCTCAAATTTTAACTAACTTCATGTTATTGTTTACCATGTTCTTAAATCTCCATGTTGGATGTCGATCTCCAACACTCACATGAGCTGTCTTACTGATAATTGTATCCATCCTAATCACAGTGAACTCATCCTTATCTTTTAGCTCAGTTAAAAGATGGCTGTAAGACAGCAATCAGAGCTGCTCTTATTTTTTTTAACTTTGCCACCTGCCTTTTCCCTTCATGGTCCCACCTACTGAACACGACTCCTCTGCACTCTCTCTGTGCTGGACTAATGACCCCAGTTACTTAAAATTCTGCACCATGCTTTTTCTCTTACAGTATAAACAACATTGAAATTACAGTTTTATCTATTCCACAGATTAATTGCACACTTTGTAAACACTAGGCTTTTTTTTTTTTTAAATCTCAAATACAGAGTCCTGCAAAACCCCACTTTTTGTCTCAAGGTATTTGGACTAAATATGTGGTTAAAGTGGATTAGCCTGAACTGAAAACTAGCTCCGTTATACAACCATTCATGGCCTCAGCCGACCCCAAAAGGCAACTCATATTTTATAATTTTTTAGGTGTTTAAAAACTCAGACAATTTTCTTGGTGATTAATCAGAAATTAATCACCTGCAACTATAAAAGTTTGGCTCAATAATGCTAATGGAACATTGATGACTGCAAGAAGGGTACTCCAAGTATCCACTTAAAGACATTAGATTTCTAGAGATAGGCATCTTAGTCCAATACTGACCCAATGACACAAGAAGGCTCAGTTTAATCCTAGCTTGCATCAGGGATGAGAAAGTTGTTTTATGTGTTCACACTGTGGCTAGTCAGATCAAGATGGCCACATTAGCTGACATTTATTAGGTGTAACACTGCTGATTGCCAGAGAACTCTTGGCTTTACTCCATGCTGACCTTTGATGGGAAGATGCCCCTAGCCAAACAAATGCTATAACTTATTTGACCACTGACAGTTGCGGAGGTAATATTGATTTGGGGATGTGTTTGTAGAAGTAGGCTGAAGGATCGTGGTGAGATCGCTATTCTCACACTGATACAGTGAAAGAAGAAAGAAATCAGATAATGCCTCAAACAGAGTTGAGAGGATACGGACACTTAGCCAGCCCTGTGTTCTGCAACTAACTGTAACACAGAAACATTTAGTTGGAGGGAGGAATCTATTGCAGTCATGTTACAAAACTCTTTCCCACTTAAGACTTGAAGAGCTTGGGAGTGGCAGCTCTGACTCCCATGTGGGGGGAAGTGGTATTTTAAGATGGTGAGGAGGATAGAGCAGAAGTTATTTAAACAACAAATTAACAAAACTGAACTTTAGATGAAACTGCCCTCTTAATTAAGCTTCTCAGTGAGTGCCTCAGTCTCAGAGCACGAGCTTTTGTTTCAGACCTAAGTGATAAATGCCATGAGAGACAAAAATGAATATGAAGATGGAGTCTACTTTTGTAATACCCTTTAGGACCATATCTGCATTTAATCATTGCCAGCAACATAGAATTACATATACCCTTTGGCAAATAAGCTCAATCCTATTTGGCACAAACTGTCTTTTAGTTCAAGTAGCATTTCGACATCAGCTGGCATTTATGGCATATAGTGCATTGTGTCTATTGGTTGCATTTAATTTACTGTTTTTAATGAAAACAAGCAGGTTTCTACAGAATAACAAAAGCACCAATTTCCATTTGTATACATGTTTATAAGTATGGATATTTCCAGTCCAACCATTCTAAAAGGTCCCAAAAGTGTCGCTTTAACTGCATTATTTCTATTAAAGATGCCAGGCCACTGTGAAATCAGATTTAGGTTGCAATGATTTTGGAAATGAACAAGCAAATTGCAAATGTTAATGCTCCTAGTCATTTTAAGAGACATATCTCAAGTCTAATTGTGATGAAAAACACCATTAGACATTTCTGAAGAATTGCACAATAAACTTCATAACAAGTGCATTTAAGTTTCTGTCTTGGTACAAATCAGACACTAGCAGCCATGTTTAGCAGAACATTATGAGTGTTTATCACTTGTAATACATATTTGACTATCATCAATTACTGCTCAGCACTAACTGTGAAACATATGGCCGCTTGCAAAACAGATAATGTAAGCCAAAACAAGGATTTCAGACTGGCCTAATTCACTGAGCTGTAAAATTTAAGAATCTAACAGTGATCTATTGCAGTTTTTCATTAAAATAATGCCTATAAATACAAAACATCTTCTGCACTGCATAGCTCACATTTGAGCTCTAGTATAACTAATAGACACTGCTGCTCGATGAGCCATGCTTTACTCTGTGTCAGTAGTTTAGTGCCATACTGTACGCACATGTTGTGACTGGGCTGGCACTCAGTGGAGGCCGGAAACAAGGCCCACGACAAAATCAATTCCCAGATTCACAGAGAGGGGACTTCTGGTGAGTGTGAGCAGAGGGGCTAAGGAACAACTATCCACTATCTGATCAGCACTGTGGCAACTGATATGGTCTCCAAAATAATAAGAAATCTTCAATAGTGCTGATCAGTTTGATAAAATAAATTATGATTTATGTTAAAAAAGACAAAAGACAAATAAATATGATCAACTAAACTATAACAATCTTATGCATATCAGAACATGTATGTTAAGGTCTACAACAAGGTTAGTTATTAAGACCCCATGGAGACCACATGTTTTGAAGAGGAAATTATTTTATATAATTAATTGCAGTTTTTGTGTTTCGCTAATTGCAAAACTTAAAGTAGCAGCAGCGTTTTTTTGTTTTTTTTTAAATTGTGATGATAATGACTATTTTGAACATCCACTCACCACATAGAGCAAAATAACTAATTATTTAGTAGAACATTTTGATGATTCAGTTTTATCTGTTGTAGTTTATACTGTTCTACTGTGATGTATGAGCCAGATGTTGTTCACATCTGTGTGATTACACACTGACTGGGTACAGTTAGACAGGACAGAACATACTAGCTCACAGTATACCCAATCATAAACAAACAGTAGGGCTATATGTTCTACTTCCCTCAATAATTCCATATTTCACACATAACAACAAAAGACTGCTGATGTTAAAAGTGAATAGGGCATAAAAAAGGTTCTAGATTTGGTGTCTGACAATGGCATGTTGGTCTTTAGGCTATAGATTCCCTGGAACAATGTCTCAGCATCTTGCCACAGCTCCCTGTGGTGGCAGCAGCTGATTAAGTGGTTTTGTAGTTCACAACCTACAGCCACAGAGGATGAAGGCCAACAGGGGACAGCACTTTGTGAGCTTGCCACCAGTATCTCAACAACATAACACATGTGTAGTAAATATGTGAGAGACATTGCACTGTAGGAAATAGTGAAGATAACATACACGCATCCAAAGGTGAGCTCTGTGTCCTACCTGGTGGGGATCTTGACCCTGAGGTAACGGTCAATAGCGATGGCCAGCAGCGCCAGGATAGAACTTTGTGTGAGCACCAGCACCGTGCACGCCACGAGCAGGCAGCTATAGAAATGAGTTTGGAGTCCGATGCTGATAGTGATTGCGAGGGGTATCACTAGGGCTCCTACTGCGATATCCGCGAGCGCGAGAGACACAATGAAACAAAACGTGGTGTCTCTGAGTGACTTGTTTATCTTTACTGCCCAAACCACCATCACATTCCCGAGCACAGACGAAACGGCGATCAGCACCTCCATCCCGATGTAGAAGGACTGCGCTGCTGTGAGTGTCCCGGGCATCCTGGCCACTGGATAGACGCCTGTGTCCTTGATCAGATTTTAAAGCCAGTCTTTGCGTCCTGTCTTTTCCAAACGTCCATGTGCGTCACGATTCCCACATTGCCGCTAAACAAATGCAAAAGACTAAACTTTGTGGTCTAATCCATCGAGAGTCCTACTTTCAAACAGCATTTTTGGGGATGTGAGCGTCTTCTCTTATGGAGCAGGTGGCTATTGTGCGCTGCGCGTCTCCCCTCGCTTCACTACACCTGCCTCCATGGTGAGCTGGGCATCCTCTGGCGCACCGTCAACAAAAGCTGTGGTTAAAGCTCGGGGAATAGAAGCGAAAGCTGCGATGTCTTGGATAAACCGAAAGAACTGAGGAATGGTGTCAGGGCACTGATGGTTTCGCTCCCATTCCTTCTCCGTCTTTCTCTCTCCACCCCCCTCTCCACTCTCACAATAATGCAGTCTCCGAAAATAACTCTGATACTTGCCTTCTGTTGCTTATAAATTTAATCTATCGCTAGCACCTATGTGGTGTTATTCCAGTTCCTTTTCCCCTTAATCTTTCTTGGCGCTATGCGCAGCTTTACGCGGGACTGTCCCAAGAAATACAGTGTTAGTCCAGAGGTCATAACGCCACACACGCCTCTCTCACGCCCTTCTAATGCTAATGGACCTTGGTCTGTTTCCGATTGTTCAGATAAGAGGTGAGGCGGTGTATGGCATACTCTGTAGCTGTTGTACTCTAAAAGCATATAAATCTGTTAATATTTCATTTGGAACAATTTTGAAAACTATTGGATTAGCCATTCTTGCATTACCTCTGAGAACAAACTCAATTCAGGTCATTCTAAATATATCTGAAAACTTCAAAGACCACTTAGAAGCCTGAGGGCAGCCCCAGATCTTCCTAAATAATGGGGAATCTGCAACAGCCAAGAGGCAGTGCAGCCCATAGTACCTATAGCCATATTTTGTAGCTACACACAGTTTTAAAAGGACGCCACCTTTGGCACCCCCACAACAACCGTAAAGAACAAAGTGTGCAGCACTGGCATTGTAAACATACAGGAATAACCTGGGCTACAGCAATGGCATTTCATGATCCCTCAAGGAAGTTCAAAGGTCATAAACATGCATGAAGTGCATTTGGGTTACTTTAGTTACGTACAAAACTTGAAAGTTAAGGATATATACAAACTGTTAAACACAAACAAAATAGACTTAATAACAGAAAGGTTTATTAAACTAAACAATATAGTTCACAAAACAATCTGTTTCAGCCCTGAAGATTTAATCCACTATATCCCGTCTTGTCTCTTGATAAATCCTCAGAAAGTCACTCTCTCTGGGGACAAATGTCAGGTTGCACTTGAAAGAATTAAGGATTATGGAGATGTTTCCTTAATCCCACTCTCTGCTAAAAATAATGTGATCCAGGGACTTGGAGTGTTTCAGAATTGTGTGTTCCTATCCTAGAAACTGATCATGTCGATATTCATTATTACATTACTATTTTTGATGCATTCAACAATCTTAAACCATTTTCCTGACAGTTCCAATCTGTGAAAAATGAAATGCAAAGAGTTTAGTGTGGAAGAATGTATATAGTAACGTGTGCCAAATTCATCTGCACACACTGTACATGAGGATAAGCAGACAGGAAATGTGTCTGAAACTGGCTAATTGGGAATTTTATGTTTGCAAACTCCAACATGTAAACACATAGTGTGACCCTCATAAACATGTGTGACCACTATCCCAGGATTGAGAGATTCTTTGTGGTGAAGAAGTGGTCCCTGATGGTTCCCACGGCCACATATATCACCAGATTCCTATAGAAGGAGATGGAGAGGCTGATGATATCTATAGTGTCTGAGGATATTCTCAACAGGAGACCAGTGAAAAGGCTGCTTCCATGTGTGTTTGAGTCACACTCATCAGTGCGCAGCTCGAAGGTCAGCCACAGTGTGCAGCAGTAGACGAGCTGCCATATGGACTAAGGCTGTGACTGGGATTTGATCCACTTGTGACGGTTTAATGAGTGTAACACATGAGGAATCAATCATTATGGAGCTCAGGGTGTAAGATAACGCTCTATAGTACACTGAAGCTGACAAGCGCATTATGTTTCGAGTCAGCTGTCAGTGGGCTACCGTGTTGGGTTCTCAGAACAGATGTAAATGTTAACGCTTTATTACTAAACAAGCAGTAGACATGAGTTATCAGTGACTTTTAAGATGCAAATCCTCTGTCCTCACTATTTTGTTGTGCTTGTTTTTTGTATGTTTCAGTATTTAATTGAAACTGGTATTAATTACAACATTTTCAATACATTTAAGTATTATAATGCCCTGTTGTATGAATGCTGCTAAACATATTTTGACATAAATGTGAATTAAGCAGTTCATATTTCTTCTCAGTTTCAAATTAGTGGTTGAAATGCTATTCCACCAACTTAAAAGTCAGTGGTTTGAACCATCAGACCAGTTAATGTTGTTGTTGAGTTCTTGGGCAAGATGCTTTAGCCATGTGTGTAACCCAGTGTATGAATGTGATGAGTCCATGAGTGATCGGTGGAGGTTGGAGGGGCTAATGGTGCTAATTAGCAGTCTCACTTTTGTCAGTCTACCCCAGGGCAGCTTTAGCAACAGAAGTAGCTAGTAAGGCTTTATTTAAACTAAATATTCTTGTTCTTCTAGGCTCAACTTTTTTTTTTATCCCTAGTTTGACGTTCAATGTCAATATTCAACTTAGTTATCACACACCTGTTACCTGTGTTTTTGTATTGTGCAGTTTTACTCTGTGTCAGAGACATGTATTTGAGCAGCTGTGGTAATAGTGACAACCCTCGGTCCACAGTGACTTTAAGATGTGATTCTGCTGGTCTTGTTGTTATTGTAGCACTGAGCTGCTTAGCAGAGGAGTCCTGTCATGGATAACACCAAAACAGACCTGGGAATACTGCTTATGCCACCGCATGAACATTTCTTAAACACTTCTCCCAGAAATAGGCTGACATTTTTCAACTACAGAAGTCTCTAGTGTGATTTACAACAGGCCAGAGTAGGTGTGCTCTGACAGCTCAGTTTGGCTTGATAAAATGTCCATAAGAGCGAGTGGTTTGAAAGACGTTCTCTTTTGAGGCGGTGTGACCAGTGAAGTGCAGTCAGTTTGTGACACTCGGCTGCAGTCTTCCTACAGGAACTGGGCACACATCGTTACTGCTGCCCACATACTCTACTCTGTTCCTCAGTCACATGAGACCAACTCTGATCTGACAGAAAGAGCCACTAATAGATGCTACTGTGTACAGAGTAGACTCCACCTTGGCCTAAACACTTTATCAGACCTTTAAGCCCCTGACAAAGCAGAGGGTGTGTTACTGCTCAGTGAGGCATATCCATAATATTCAAATGAGGAGATCAAATCGTGTCCATGTCCCTGTTTGGTGTGAGCTAAAAAGCCTTTAAAAACAATATGGTGCAGTTATTAAGAAGGGCTCGGGCCATGAACATCAGTGATGGTCTCAGGGGAGCGCTGAATGGCACATGACAGCATTATTAAAACTCACAAAGACAAGAGCCATGTCCTATTAGCCAGGAAGCCTTGAGGAAAACAGTTTAGATGTTTCAAACAAGACTGGGGCTAACAAGGACCTAAAACCTTGTGCTATTACAAGCCACATTTCACGAAAATAACAGGAGATGGATAGCCTGAGCAAAGCAAAGACCTTCAGTGCAAAATTCAGATAGGAAGCAATATTGTGCGATGCATTCAAGTGTCCCTTAGACAATCAAACAAGCTTTCAAATAGCGTATAAACTATTACAGCAGCTGGGTAATGGGTTGGGCAGACAGCCATTTACATGAGCCTCGGAGAGGGGCGCACCATCAAGCACTACAAAAAGGTTATTATTATTGCATGTATGTACGTACGTACGTATATATATATATATATATATATATATATATATATATATATATATATATATATATATATATATATATATATATATATGTGTGTGTGTGTGTAAACAGTTAAGTTTGGTGGCAGAACAATCATGGTCTGGGGTTACATCCAGTATGGGGGTGTGCGAGACATTTGCAGGGTGGAAGGCAATATCAATAGCCTAAAATATCAAGAAGTATTGGCTACCTCTTACATTCCCAATCATAAAAGGGGTCAAATTTTGCAGCAGGATGGTGGTCCATCGCATACTTCTATCTCTACATCAAAGTTTCTCAAGGCGAAGAAGATCAAGGTGCTCCAGGACTGGCCAGCCCAGTCACCAGACATGAACATCATTGAGCATGTCTGGGGTAGAATGAAAGAGGAAGCATGGAAGGCAAAACCAAAGAATCTTGATGAACTCTGGGAGGCATGTAAGACTGTTTTCTTTGCTATTCCTGATGACTTCATCAACAAATTGTATGAATCATTGTTGAACCGCATGGATGCAGTCCTTCAAGCTCATGGAAGTCATACAAGATATTAAATATGGATCTCACAGCACCACTACTTAATTCACTGATGTTCTGCAACATATTTTTGTATTTGAAGTAAATTATTAGTTCAATTTTCTGTAGGCGACAAAACTTTTGTCTTGCCAAAATCTGACCTTTCTGTGTTCATTAAATGATCAATCTTTCTTCAGTGAAGCAAATTTATTTTAGTATATTGAGCATAATTTGGGAGGGTTTTAGCTTTCATATGAGACATTTCTAAAACCAATCGATTAATTTAAAGTCAGGTTAGAAGCTTTTGTTTCTACAAAATGGATAAGCGACAAGACTTTTGTCAGGGACTGTATATATACACACACACACACACACACACACACACACACACACACACACACACACACACACACACACACACACACATACATAGTATATGTGGTTTACTGAAAATCTAGAATTAACACACCATTCATTTTCTCTGCATAATTAAATCTGATCAAATTAGAGCTGCTCTTTTGCCACGAGTCACAGTAAACTGCTGTACACAAGAGA